GGTCCGGCGAGCCGGACCGACCCCCAGCCACACAGAGAAGGCGCTCGGGAGAGGCGGTTACTGGACCTTTCGTCCGGGCCGTGATGGTGGCCTTGGAGCGGCGGCGGCGGCCGGGGGAGGCTGCAGCTGCCATGGCAGGACGGAGAAGGGGGAGTGCAGTGCGGGCTGGGGGGGGAAGCGGCGGCGGCGGGGGGGACACTCGGGCTCTCCACGGCCATGGGCAACGGGCAAGGGGTGGAGAACGAGGGGGCACAGTCACTGAAAAGCGCGGGGGGCTCGGCCCGGCGGCTCCTCCGCCCGCGCCCCGCGCTCCGCGCTCCGCGGGCGGACACACAAAATGGCGCCCGCCCTGAGGCAGCGCCCCGGCGGCCGCCGGAAACAGCCGAACGCCGCCGGAAACAGCCGAGCGCAGCCTCTTCGGGTGGTGCCGAAAGCCGGCGGGGACTCGCGAAGAGCCCGTCGGGTTTTTCCGGTTGGTGCCGAGCGTTTCCGAGCGCCTCCAAAGCTCTCCGAATGCTGCCGAAGTTCTCCGAACGTTTCCGAAAGTGACGATTTCCAAACGAAAAGTTTTACGGCGAAATTACACAGAAATAAAACTTAATAAGGAGATTCGGAGTCTTTTCCCCCTCACGGGTTCCTCTTTTCCTACCCAAAACCCCTCCCAAGCCGCCGTTGATGAGTGGACTCGATGTTTCCCAAAAATCCTCTTCCCACCCGGAGTTCAGCTCAGGACAGGGATTTTCCACGGGTCACGGGATGTTTCTCCACATCCAAATGTCGCTCAACCCCCCCAAAGTGTCGCGAATTTCTTGAATTTATGGCAAAATCTGTGGAAAGTGGGAGGAGCTAGAAGGGAGTTAGGGATCTCCCTGCGACTTGGAATAAACAACACGGATTTTATAAACAGGGAGAAAACAACGCCAAAACCCCGATTTTTCTAACTATTGACGGGATTCTTCTAATTACTGACGGGATTTTTGCACCGGTGTGGCCGCTTCGTTTCTTTGGGATGGGGAAATCAAGGGATTTCCGAGAAGTTCCCCACAACTCTCCGAAGGTTTCCGAAGTTCTCCGAAGGTTAACGAAGGCGCGCTCGGAACGTTTCCGAAACTCTGACGGAGATTGACGAAGCCCATGAGGGATGGCGGGAACGCCCGCGCTGAGAATAGGACGAGTCCATCAGAGCGCGGAAAGAGGGGGGGGGAACAACACGGATTGTGCCACGCGGCGCACGTTCAGTCACTCAAAACCGAAAACCGCGGCCTCGCTCCGCCACATCTGAATGAAACAACGGCAGAAAGAACCTCTGACCTTTCTTTTTCCCTGAGGGACCGCCTTACCGGGAGTGGATTCGGCGCGTCCCCCCCCCGCACGGAGCGATTTGGAACGGTCCGCGTTTGCGCGGGCCGCTAGGGGCGCTGCGAGTTGTGTGGGGGGGGCGGCTCTGAGACACCGTGAGGGGTCTTGAGGGGTCGTGAGGGGTTTTGAGTGGTCGTGAGGGGTTTTGATGGCCCGGGAAGAGCTTTGAGGTGTCGTGAGGTGCCTTGAAGGGTTCGAAAAGTCCGAGAGGCTTTGAGGGGGTCGTGAGGGGCCCTCAGTGAGGGAGGGAGGGAGGGGGGGGTCTCGGTGGTCGGCGGCGCCATGGTGGAGAAGGATGAATCGAGCCCCGGCGGCATCAGCGAGGAGGAGGCGGCTCAGTACGACCGGCAGATCCGGCTCTGGGGGCTCGAGGCCCAGAAAAGGTCGGTGGTTCTGAGGGGGGGGAGAACCTATAGGGGCTTGGGAGGTTCCTATAGGAGCAGGGAGGGGTCTGGAGGGTCCCACACGAGCTTGGAGGGGTCTCTGAGGGAGCCCTGTGGGGATTTTTGGGGCTCTGTTTGTATCGAGGGGGGCTATGGAGGGGTTTGGGGGGGTCCTATAGGGGCTCCCTATAGGAGCCGAGAGGGGTCTATAGGGTCCCTGTAGGAACCGGTGTTGGCTGGTGACCCCCTGGGCCTTGCTCAGCACTGGGGGGACACCCGGGGGTCACCGGGAGGGGATTTGGGGGGTCCTGAGGGACATTTGGGGGGTCCTGGATGGGATTTGGGACATCCCGGGGTCACCAGGGTGCTGCAGCCCCTGTTTGGGGGTCTCACCTGTTCTGGGGTCTCACCTGTCCCGAGGTGCTCTGGGGGTCTCACCCCTGTTTTGGGGTGTCTCACTTGTTCTGGAGTGTTTTACCTGTTCTGTGGGGGTCTCACCTGTTCTGTGGGGGTCTCACCTGTTCTGTGGGGGTCTCACCTGTCTCAATCCCCCCAGGTTACGAGCGTCTCGGGTGCTGCTGGTGGGGCTGCGTGGGCTCGGGGCCGAGGTGGCCAAAAATCTCATCCTGGCTGGGGTCAGGGGTCTCACCCTGCTGGACCATCAACAGGTGAGGGGACACACCTGGGGACACACCTGGGACACACCTCGGGGTTTCCTCCTTCAGGAACAGCCCCAAAATCTGGGAATTTTTTCACTTCCATCCTCAAAATCTTGGGAATTTCTGTGCCCC